GAGCTATGTTTTCAAAGCCGTACGGTCTTAACCGACAACGGTATTCTTACAATATGGTTCAAGCTTCCGGTAAGAACAATTTCACCAAATGTAAACTGGTCTAGGACTTCTGTGACATTGAACTCTATGTCCAAATCTTGGATTTTCTGTGCCCGTACAGTGAACCAAGATGGGCTTAGCCGTACGACTGTACCATTAGGAGGTAAAACTGAACCAAGATATATCTCGGTCTTGTTGGAGACGTTTTGGAAACTTCTTCTCACTACAAGTGACCCTCTAAGTGAAGATATAGTCACTGATGGTTGGTTAAGGTTAGCCGGGTGGCTAAGCACGGTGGTGCACCAGACTCCGGTTGCTGCTCTAATCGTGGCCGGATTAATGTTTGGCAGTGAGCACAAGAAACTAATGTAGTCTTCAAAACCTGGTCCAATGCCACCCCAAAAAAGAATGATATTGTGAAAAGTACCCCATATTTATTGTTTTATTTACATAGAACCACTAACTTTGTAAATCATCAATTCTTAACTTCCCATGATAAGTAAAAATGTTACCTGCCGGTAAAACCAGTCCTGGATCTATGGCTCTAGCAGGATTAACATGACCAGCACCATGATCAAAATGATTAGACGGAAACAATTCGTTGATCCCATAAGACTCTGCAGATATAACTTCACCAGAATTGTCGTATTCATTGGCCGTGGTGGAGATGGCCGAAGCAATCATGGCCGGAGTCCAAGAAGGATTAATTTGCTTTATCAGCACGCCAATTCCCGCTATATGAGGAGCTGCCATGCTGGTTCCCGACAATATAGCAAAGTTCCGTCCTACTCACAATAACAATTTTAAACTTAAGGGAGTAAATTGCATATGATACAAAACATGAGGGGCGTAAAAGTTAAAACCTGTGAGAATAGGATCATAGGCACTAGGAAGGCTCCAAGCGCCCCATATTTGGTGACCAGGTGCAAGAATATCTGGCTTAAGCACATCTAGAGGATTCCGATTTGCATCGATAAAAGCTGGGCCTCTCGATGAGAATCTACTCACCACCGGTGCTTGTCCAGCAAATACCGAGTTTCGGCCTTCGCCTATTCGTGCTCGTGCCCCGAATTGCATTACCATCCCTCCCTTGTTTCTGTAGGTTTTCTCCTCGTAGTACCTCAAAATGATCTAACATAATAATGTTTCAATATAAATATGCCGATGAAACTTCATTGATAATATAATTTCAATCCGAATCAAATGGTCATGCATTTCGTAAATGAATGTGGTTACGTCACTCAAGTTCAATTGCTAAAAATAATTTTGGATCTCATTATTGTGATGGGACATTGTTATCTATGTACGTAGTATAGTCATACACATTCTCATTTTATATATTTTGGCCATAATCGCTATTACTATCCAATTTCGGCCCCCTAGCCTATCTACTAATTTTTTTTTTTTATAAATGTTATATTATTGAAATATCTCAACATTATATAAAATAAAATAAATAATTTTAATTTCGTCCAAAAACATGAAGGAATAGCTATTTTCTTATGACGTGACTTTTATCTAAATACCTTAGAAACAACATTGTCATTGCAATTTATAATGGAGTTTTTGATAAATTTACCTGGGAATCTAATATTTTTGGGATTAGAATACCGGGACCCGAAAATATCACTGGCTCTGCAACATAGTCTCCGAATTTAGGGTTTGCAACGAGTATGAAACCCATGAAACCAAGAGTCCTGGCGGTTCGGGTGATGGCTCGGACTGTCGAGGTTTGTTTGTAGAAGCCGTCGGAAAATGTACAAATCACAATACTTCCAAGAACCAATGCCGGATCGAAATTCTCCGGCCGTTGACATTCTTCAGTGTCTCCGGTTAGAGTTTGTAAAATTGAGCCATTTGTTCTGACTGCGTCTCTGGCTAAGACTAGCCTGTGTTGAAGGAAAGGAGATCCCAAAGTTGGGCCTTTGATTTCAAAATGAAGCAAAAGTCATGCATCTTTATTTGTTCTTTCGTGACTATACCAATTTAATTAAACATAGATCGAAATTGTTACTAACTTGTAAGAACATAAGCGAAAAATTCAAGACTTTTAGGTATAAGTACATTATCATGTACTATTATGTTGAAATTAGGACTAAAAAGTTTTCGGAAAAAAAGCATTTTTGAAATTTCGTAACACTTAGCAAGCACGATAATGTTCAACAAATCTTGCAAATTTTGGCATTTTACGTTCAAACTTTGCAACTAACACCAAATGTTAATTTTGAATGAAAACATTATTTTAGGATTTGTTTTAGAATTTTAAGTATTTTGCAAAAAAAAAAAAGAAGTTGATAAGAATTTTTTACCTGATAGTCCAACACCCTGAACGGTCTCGCCACCATCGAGTATGAGCGATGCAGGATAAGATCGGTCCGTACTTCCAGCGGCCGCGCCAACAACCCACGGACTATAAGACAACACGGAAGACGGTGATGGGCCATGATTTCCTGCGGCTTGAACCACAAAGACCCCTGCTTTCCTAGCCGATAACATTGCGAGGTCAAATATCCCGAGCACCGTCGGCTTATCTATCGGTGGTTCGTCCGGCCCTACCGACAACGTTAGCACGTCTACGCCGTCCATTATTGCCTGTCACAAAATTACAAAAAGTAATGTAACATATAAATGGCTAGAAGACAATATGGGAGAAACATAGGCTATATAGTCTTGTTTTGTAGTCTCTCCGTTTTTAATATATAATGTTTTGATTTAAATCACAAAGTTTAAGAAACTTTTTTTTTTTCAAATAGATTATTTCATATATAAAA